CATTAACCTTTTGGAGCTTCTAGAGGGTAAACTTGACTCAATATTATCTAATTTCCTTCTACACTTTAGCGATGGGGGTTTATGTTGTTGTTGTTGTTAAGTACTGTGGAGTTGGTTCTGACTCATAGCGACCCTGTACAGGGTTTCTGAGGCTGTAAATCTTCACAGGAGCAGAAAGCCTCATCTTTTTCCTGCGGAACAACTAGTAGTTTCGAACTGTTGACCTTGCGGTTTGCAGCCCACTTCGTAACCACTACGCTACCAGAGCTCCTTATAGCAGGCTAATTTTTAAGTTGACCGTTTTTTATGGCCCCGGATGATGTTCTAAATATCCAAATGGCCATTGGCAGATAAAAGGTTCCCTACCCCTGCTGTATAGTGTGGTCACTGGCAACAATTCATTTCATTATCTTTTAATACCTCAAAAGTAACTTTAACTACAGATGAGTTTTAGTGTAGTGGTTACAAATCGGGCTGCGAACCTCAAGGTCAGCAGTTCCAAACTACCAGCGTTCTGTGGGAGAAAGATTAGGCGTTCTGATCCTGTAAAGATTTACAGCCTCAGAAGCCCTGTACAGGGTCCCTATGAGTCAGAACCAACCCCGGGGCATATAACCACCATCACAGATGAGTTTTACATACTATCTGTAGGTCTTAACTCTTTTACTTCCAGATGTTGGATTGTGACTCCCCTCTGTCGACATTTAATTCACATTGTAAAACAGCCTACAATAATGTTAAAGGTAATCCTTCCTATTATGTAAAATACATCATACGTATTGCCTTGTCTTTTCTTTCTTTGAATTACACATGGAAGAAAATTAACTTGTTGTTTGAGATTACCCTCCTACAGTTGATTTCCTCATTATCTTTAATACCTTCCTATGTGCACAGAGATGTACTTTATGCCCTGTGTCATAAGGTAAGTGCAACTGCAAGTGGTGAAACTGGCCTCAGCCAAGTTGAGTGAATTGTTTTATAGCAATGCAAGCCAAATGAGTTGTTAGTAGTATTTGAAAGAGGACTTGGAGAAATGAAAAAAGGCCACATTATCTCTGATTCATAATCACTTGCCCTGGTAATGTCGTGGATTACGATATGGACTGCTAACCACAAGGAGTGCAGTTTGAATCTACCAGTCATCCCAGGGGAGAAAGATAGCTGAGGCTTTCTGCTCCTGTAAAGATGTATAGCATCGAAACCCTATACAGGGTCTCTATGAATCTCTATGAGCTGGAATTGACGCAACAGTACACAGCAACCACCACCTAGTGTGGTGCTGTAGGATAAGCACTGGACTGAAAACCCCAAGTTCACTAGCCACTCCTTGGAAACACTATACAGTTCGCTATGAGTCAGAACTGACTCAATGGAGCATAACAACAACAACAACTATATGTACATAGGTTTGAATTGTAAGGTCGTCGGTTCAAACTCACCAGCCACTCCTCAGAAGGTCAGTGGTTTAAGCTTACCGGTCTGCTCCTTGGA